AGGTGCTCGTGTTTGGAACTCAATATCCGAGCGGCCGGTGTGACCAGCAAGTCGTTGATACTCTCTGTCCTTTTCATTTATCTGTCTTTCGTACAATTTAACGTCCAAGGGGAATCAGATTTCCAACCCCCCAACATTGTACTCTCATTCTAAATTTCTGGTCCTTATGCATTACTAGAGCTACCCTTTTGGAACCTCCTCCCTTCCGTCAAATTATATTCTTACTCCATTTTGGGTCTGTTTGGCATGACATGAAATTTAAAATGACTTATAACCATGTTTCATGTAAATTGAGACAAACTTATTCTCCCATATTTACTTTATATTTTAAAAATCACGATTAAAAATTTATTTATAAGTCATTTTAAACGGGTATTTCTTTTGTTATTTTCTCTTTAGTTCTGAACCATTTTTCTCTTCGCCCCTTCCGTTGTCCCGCCGGGGCTCACGTTCCCACTTTTGTTTTTCTCACCCATTTGATCATATATCCCCACCAAACCACTGAGACCTAGGCTCTGCAAATATTAAGGGACGACTGCTAAAGACTCCTATCCGTCACTCAAACGTTGATGAGGGCTCAAATTATGACACGAAACATATTAGCAATTGATTTCAATACCCTCTCACCCAATAGGCCTCTAAAACCCCCTTCGAAGTTCGAACCAATCCCCTAAAAGCTTGCGAATGGGATTGTCACATTGACATGAGGTTTACAAAAAAAAAAATTACTGCACATGCAAATCATCCATAATTTCTGATGCAGGCTAAAAAGTTTTACGACAGATGATGGTGAGAAAATAAATAAATCTTGAAATTGTAATTGTTTAATGAAGTAGTGAGCGCAACCGTCGGGGAAAAGTCAGAAAGAAAAGCAAAGAGGACACGGGGACTGAGAAGAAGAAGAAAGAAATAGAGCGCAGCACTACAACTTAGAAAAAGGGTTAATAAGAGGCAAGATTATTGACTTTCGGGGCTTTGATTTCGTAAACGCCCTTTGGATGCAAGGAAAACCTAAGTAACATTGCCAAGTCTTTATTGATTGTACCGCGCAGCTTCTCATTTTATGCCATTAAGTTGAACAATATCAGTGTATCACGCTCACACACGTCAGGTTATTTCTCCTGTAAGATAATATTAAGAAAATCAACGAATTTGGATGCCTGCATCGCCCAGTGGGATTAATTTAATTAAGCCACAATCAACCGCCACAGCAACTGACGGTGAGCCTTCAATTATTTTTTTTTCTTTTTTTAAATTTTTATCAACAAGCTAAGTTACCACAAAAACGGGCTTCTAGAAATTCGTTACAAAGAAGTTGACTTTCATAGCACCGAAGATTCATCCCTCGCGCATTGAGTGGCCCCCAAATTCCTTTCCAAGAAACTCGAACTTGGTTTGCACTTTTCGTTAACTCCCAACAAGCAACTTGCAAACCGAATATCACACAACTCCAAACCAACGAATTCAATTCAACTCTTAATTGCCCCTTCCGTTTATCAGTTCTTTTATTGCGCGACGCCCATGAATCCGAATTTTGCCATTAAAGTTTTGATGAAGGGCAAGGAACAGAGCGGGCAAGGGGAGAACTATTTAGAAGCAGAATCTAATAAACAAGATCGGAGATTGGCCCAAAAAATATCTACACAGTAATTACAAGCTTCCATGATCACTTACTAATTAGTAGTAATTTCAATATATACCATATGTAAAGCGCTCCAATAACTGCGCTTCAACTATACATCTACTATCTGTGCTCATTAGCAGACTCACTACCAACACTGGTCAGTTTCCCAGTTCCGGCCACTGTAACCGGAATATGAAGACGCCGAAGACGCCGTGGACAGTGGCCTTTGTCGCCGGACGAAGAGGCTCCTGTCGTAACTAGCGCGCTTCTCGGGGTCCGACAGAGTGGAGTACGCGGCGTGAATCTTCATAAACGCGTCCGCTGACGAATCCTTCCGATCCACCGCCGCCACGTCCGGATGACACACTCTCGCCAATCGCCGGTAGGCGGCCTTGATTTCCTGATGGGACGCGCCCGCCGGAATCCCTAGAATATCGTACAGCGATGTGCACGAAGACATAGTATGGGAGGTGAGATAGGAGGACCTCGATCTCGGTTGCTCCGTCCAGGCTGAGCAAGATTCAGTCGCGGTGGCGGAGGCGACGATCGGGCGGATCGGAACACGATGAGGTGACGGCGGCGAGGAGGAGTAAACAGAGTTGCCAGAGAAACCAGGGGCGGAAAGCGGGGCGGGGCGAGAAAGAGGAAGCATGATACGGGGAAATGCGGTGTCGTATTGGTAAGCCGAGAATTGGGCGGAGGCCAAGAGGAATCGGGGTGGGATTTATAAAGGAGGAGGGAATGCGGGGATAGAAGACAGGGGGGCCCAGTTGAAGTGCGGTGGAGCTGTGCGGCAGTAAAACAATACATATCCAATGGGCATTTTCCTGTGTGCTGACTCATCACTCAACTGGCTTTATCCCTTCTTCATTTACGCCTGTAGCCTTCTCAGTTAACCATCCCCCTCCCATCCGGCGCAATTTTGTACAATAATTTATTACCGGAGGCCCTCATCCATCGATCTCCACAGGGAATAGATAATTAAAAAAAACATGATTCTATTTACGTGTTTGGCTCAAATTACTAGCAATTGATTGAGAGCATTTGTAAACGGAGATGGTAAAAACGGGATAAAAGGTGAATAAAGATTTTGAGTCCACGTCCTTTTAAAAACAGAGTCTGGACATTGGACGCAGATATGTTAGAAGAGGGAGGTGGCCTCTCCACCAAATGGCACATGGTTTGTCTCCACACCCTTGTGACCTCATTCTTAACTCTGTTCATTGCACCTTATACCATCAAATCACTCATGTTTCTTACAACGTGCTTCTTTGTCATGTTTATGTGTAACTTATGCCGGCTCTTTACTCATCTCTCTTTGTTCTCTCCCACCCACCTTTGTTTCGTTTCCAAGTAAACAACAACTTTTTCCATTCTAATTAGAGTGGCTCGAGGTCCTTACTATATCCAGCTCTTTTAGTTACTTTGGATTCTGTCCATGCAATCCGTCTCATCAATCCCGGGGCCACCTTAGAATAAATACATCTTTTTAGTTCCTTACGATCATGCAATCCTTAACTTTTTATTTAAAAAAATCATCATTTCGATTAAATCATAACGGCAAAAAATATCTACAGCTGAGTTTCGAGAGGAGATTCTTACAACCCGTTGATGAAATTTCATAATGAAGGAAAGGGGAACGCCAGACAAAAAAGAAAGAGGATGGCCCCTGAGGTGAGCAAAAGGAGAGGAAGTATTGCCCGCCCAGATCCACGCATAAACACCCAATCCAAAACCCATTTTGAGTTCTCGGGCATTCTTGAGCAAGAAGACGGCCAGTGAGGAAGATTGACAAGGCAGGTCCCACCATGGCGTTGTTATCGGCACAATGCATACCATTCTTTTATCTATTTTTTTTCCTTGGCCACTGAGTTCGTATTATACTTCTAATACCAAAATTATCTTGACGTTATCCCGTCACCCCACAAACCCTCGGGCTGATTCATTGACTTAGCTAATTATCGGAAACATGTCTCTTGCGGTTCACCATCAGCAAAAACTTGCTCTGTATTTGAAAATAGTGAATGAGTATGGACGAATTGAATTAAAGCGGTGGGATGCTGCTCCCGTACGTCTTCACTCTATATCTACTTTGATCTGATATGATGAGACATACCATGTTCCCAGCGAAAAGTGATTCCCTTCCCACATCACTTGCCCCAGCAAATTTTCTATATCAACTGTCAATTTTAATTGCCTCGCTTCCGGACTTGTGATCAGAATCTCAACTACGGAGGCCAAAAAATAACATATCTTGGATGCTGACGCCGCAACGACCCTCTTCCTATTTTTTTTTATGAAACATCAGGATATCCACCGGCGAACCCAGTGACTAATCCCTTCGCTGGCTTGTAGGCACCTCGATGGGTGGGACAGCTGGTCCGGAGTTTTAAAACTTTTCCATGCCCAAGACGAGGATCGAACCCTCAACACTTGGTTAAGGAAAGATGAGCCCCCACCGCTCAACCACACCCCCGAGTTACCCTCTTCTTATTTTATCATGACGAGTCTTGCGATATATTCACAGAAAACAAAACAAAAAAAGAGGGTCTTACATTCAATTTTGAATATAATTAAAGGAAAATTCATCATCATCTATGTGTTGTTGGATGCCTCATTGACTGACTCATTGTTTATGTAACTAATGACTTGTTGTACTACTCCTTAAAAAGCATTGTGAGCATGGCATTATCAGAATGATTATAATTATTGTTCCATCTCACTCCAGTTGTATATTCATGGAAGACATGAACACAGTCGAAAGTAGGTCAATAACAAGGAGCAAATTCAAACTCGAGACCACCTTCCTGCTCCAGCTAATGTGCCAACAGTTGCAACCACTACTGTTCTTCGCTGTCTATCTGCCTCAGAAGCTCCCCAAAATTGCAATGCAGAAAAATGATGAAAAAGCCATTATCGATTTCCTTGCACCACGAAAATACATTATTAGTCATTATTGCTGATTATTTAGCCAGGACTCCTCATAACAAGGCTGATTATTTTTGTCGCCACGGTAAACCTCCACCTATAAATTTTGCGGGGGGCTTTAATATAGGAAACTAGAGGCTTGCTTTTTGTTATTTTTGCTGTTGTATAGTTGACTCAGTTTTATTTTTTAAAAGTAGTATTAACGATACAGTAGTTACTGCCCATGGGATAACGCAACTGGACATAGCTCAAAAACGCAGTACAACCCACGGCCATGGATCCCCTTTTCCGGTTGTCTATGGCGTTTCTTCTGCTAGCATTAGCGAACATCAGACCTATAAAACTTTATAGGATTCTGCAATGATTTTTATCACGAGTCTTGTTAGAGCTTCACTTCTCAATTATTAATCACACGTGGCCTAACGCACAAACTACATGTACTCGTTAGAGGGAATAAATCATATAAAATCATTTTGTGGCAATTGATAATAATATATGTTAGAAATTGCAGAAAGAGACTACACATTTGATCGCAATTATCCAAAACTAGGATGTCAGCTACACATCAGTTAGGAAGCGGGCAATGGTAAGGTTCTCATTCTTCAATTGAAGCACAAGTGTGTGGATCAGTTCCTGGATTTTGATGTAGCCCATTTAAAGTAACCACAGTTTGCTTCTGGATTAGATGCAGGCCCCTGCAAAGAGCGAAAAAATGACAACTTAGTTCCAAGAAATCGCATCTATTTGGCAGAATAACATGGCCTATAAACCTAAGTAAGAGACGGCTCGGCCCTATTAATACGATCCAAGGTTAGTATGTTTCCAAGAGCAGAACAGAAACAGCCTTCCTCTTCTTTTGAAAGAAATAATGAGGTTCATTTTGGAGTTCCCGAATTAAGAGATTCTTGTATGGGCACAGTCTGAGCACATCTTATTTAATGATAGCAAATCCAAGACTCAGATTTTTCAAACTGAAATTTGCCACCCTCAAAGCAACAGAATTTCAGTGCTTGGATTTCTATTTATGAAACAACGTTCATACGAGAAATCTAGAGCAGTCCGAAAGATCATCCAGTGAAACAAATTACCTCAGCACGAGCACAAACATAGAATCTGCGACCAAAGTTAGGACCTTGTTTCTTCACCACTCGGGCAATACAAGGTTCCTTATGACCCTTGCAAAGTGGTATGCTATTTTGCATCAACTGTTGTATTCTCTGCCACTCCAATAAAGCCACATTACTGCTTTCTTTCCTTTTCGTATCATCAGTAAATTTAGATGCATCTTTACACACGCCCGCGCACAGCTCATATTGCTCGGAACTGCCACTCTGATCAACCACAGTAGACGCCTCATTTGAGTGATGGTCAAGCTGTGAGGATTCAGCTTGAATATCAGTACAAGAGTCTTTGACCATATTGTCAACATTCGTACTTTTTTTGAAAAAGGACATCAGTGAAAGCTGGGAGCATTGACTACTTCTTGCTTTTTTCTTGGACCGATTGCTTTTCACAGGTACCACTTTACCATGTTCACTGCCTGATGAAACTGAATAGTTACCAACAGCTTCCAGAGAAGAGCTGCCAGACTGTTCATTCGATTCAAGATTAGTTTCTGAATCTTGGCTTGAAACCACATCACAATCACCGGTATGCATGACAGACAAACCACTGTTGTCGAATGATTCTTTTACCCTCTCACAAGTGCTCCCTGTAACAATGTCTTCATCTGAAAGCAAGCCTGACATCTTGCATGATTTCATTTGTTCAGAAACTCGTCTTTTTGTCAACACAGACACTGCAAGACAAAGCCCAGAAGCAGTATAATCATAGAATATTCTGAAATTATCATCAAAAGAACAACCAACGTTTAGTACCGAGCGTTTGCTGCAACCCACGAACCACGGGAACATATCTAGAAGATAAGGGGGGAGTACTGTGCAGAGAGAGATTAGGTATTTCATGTAAGGTAACATAAACTGGAGCATGATCAGATCCTTCAAGTTTAACGCTTCGACCTTCTTTCCACCTCTGGGCACTGAACAGATAACAGAATCAAAGGTAAATCCTTGCTTCCAGGGAAAGAAATGCAGCAGAGATGTATGCAATTGCAACTCTTAAACCATGGAACACAGCAATTCACTATTCCATCGAAAAACCCCCCCAAGAATCACCCCCAGGGAAATATTAGAATTCACATGATATATAGTATACAATACGAAAAGGGCAAAACGGGAAACCTGAAAGCATAAAACATCTGATACTATCAATCAATAATCTAGTCTAGCAAAAGGGGGGAAACAATAATCGAGGATAACAAACTATTCCAGATATAAGTCATCGGCCGGGATAGAGAAAATAGCTTAAACACATGCACATGATAAGTCTATTTGATTGTGTTGTTGGGTTCCTTACCTCAGGTTGCTTCCAGGTTTGCATCGTTTATACTGTGTCAAAATGTCACACTCCTTAACATGGCATCTTATGAAATTATGGCCTTCCAGGTCATCTGCTTCATGTAAGCAGGAACCCGCACACAGAATATGGTCAATTCTCGTCCCAAAGTTAAATACTTCAGCCCCTGTATTTTGAGGCCAACAAGTATAAGCTTCCTTTCTGCATTAAATATCAATATGCACCAATGATTAATCAGAATAGAGAAAATCATAAATTTGAAAGGAAACAATTATGGAGGATGATGCATGTAATACCAGCAATAATGTGGAAACTTGAAGCCTAAGAATAAAATATTCAAGCCAATAATCAATTACTTATTTCAAAAACCATTTTTCTAAAATAAATAATGTGAGTGAAATTAGCAAATTAAAAAGGCCATTTTATTCAAGAGCAACAAAATTCAATATGGGAATAGTGACAATAATTCAGAGATGGAGTGAAACATTCCCTAAATTATGAGAGGGCAATGTTTGTCATGTATCAGGGATTAGACTTCTGGGCATACAGCACATCAGCATTCAACATTCAATATTTCAGGTAGTTATAAGTCCAAACCTATCAGGGTGCTTTGCTCTGAAAACATCAAAAAATTGGCCGCCATTTTCAAGTAGCAGAGACCTAAACCATCTTCTAAATCTACACAAGAAAAAATGGGTAAGCATTTGAGACATTGACAATCATATTAGACGCTAATAAAAATAACACTTCACAGAAATCCAGGAGCAAATTACTCATCATTCTCAAAGTCAGGTCCTGCTTCACAACGATCTATTGCTTGTGGTGCAATGTTGAGATCACCAACTACAAATATTTTCCTTCCTTGATCCAGGAGAGACTCCCATCTTTTCTACTAAGGAAATTTTCAGAATCAATCCAGCAATACAAGGTAAATAAATGAAAACAGAAAGGTGGACGAACATCTATAAAGAGGTAAGGGAGGTAACTAAAGCACGCATAAAACCACATTTTAACACACCCAAATGTTTCGGCACTAAATACAGTATCCTGACTTTGGCACATTATTGTCTGCTAAATTGTAGTAGATTCAACAGCCTATGTTATATTTAAAAGTAAACCACTTTCAGGTTTCCTCGTATCAGCCAAAAAAAAAAAAAAAAATTTGAATTCCTTAAACAAAGTCAAACCTCATCATGTTCAAATAATCCTGGGCCCTGATCCCATGCGGTCAACTAATCTTACAATTACCAATCAGAAACAAACTAGAATTTGAAGCGTAAGCCATCCCCTAACATCTTTTTGATTCTTTTTATCTTTTTTATTTTTGAAAAAAGCCACGTTCAGAGCAACTACGAAATTCAGCACCACAAAATCATAGTTACAATTCCATTAGTTGAAGACCGTATATACATTAGAAATACCTGCAATAACGTGAAAAAGTTACGCTTAAACTGAACCCTCTCTGTGTCATCACTTTCAGCCCGAGGTCCATACAAATTGAAAAGAACTGGCCAGATGGAAGCAAAATTTGATCAAAACCACTACATTTGTTTTGAAAATAGAAGACAAACGGCGCATAAGACTTGGAATGAATAACATATCCTTCCTTCCAGTGAAATACGAAAAGGAAATTCAATAAATAAAGAACCAAGCTTTGTAATTTATTGATTCTATTTGAAATTTATTAGTTATAAGCATAAACACTCACCAAAGTGACCATGATCTGTGATGATGCAGCGTCCCTCACTATCAACACCAAGTAGCTCCTCATTGGAAAACCCTAGTAGGCCTTCCAAGAAGAAAGGCAATTCACTTTTCCCAGTGGGAGAGTTCCCAATAAGACCTGTGAATCCTTCTTCAGCCGCTAAGGGCAAGGCTACTTCGTCACTTGAAAACGCTGATTTTACGCGACAAAATGTGGCAACCCCTGTACACACAGGAAATTCATGGCTGTTAAAATGCACTAGAGATTAGAGACAAGGTAGCCAAAAATTCGTGCTTGATTAAGACTTTTCAGAGGTAGCCATGATAAGAGCTCTAAAATCATTCATCATAAAGCAACAAACTGTAGAAACTACGGAGGGCACAGTTTCCAGAATACATAGCATGGCTGTGGTTGAGGCGGGGCTAAAAAGCAACTTACCGGAATACCCAGTTCGACCTTTGTCAGAGCTACGGGTGCACGAAAAGAATGACTCGTATCCGTCAGCCATGACCAAATCCGCTGTCACTTCCTGCCTCCTCAACTTTGTTTCCTGTGATGGCTCGAAATTGAATCCAGTATGCGAAGAAGATCAGAGACAGCAAAGAGGGGGGAAAAGAAGTACAACAGATTTGATAAAGCACCTGAAGGCAGATGATATCAGCGTCGAACGAATTCAGCAGATTCCGAAGAGAGCCAAACTGCGCTATGCGCTGTCTCAAGCCATTCACATTGTAAGTAACTATCTTCATCGCCCCTCTTTCTGAGTGTGTTTTGGTTCGAGAATTCGGAGATTGGAACCCAACTCAACCAGTATATCCTGGCCGAACTTACTTGACCGTATCAACAAATTACTATATTAGTTATTATGCGTAAATTTTGTAATATTATTTTTATAAGTATAATACTGCCTCAGTACCAATACGAAGAGACTTCTCAGGGTGGAGCAACAGCAACACCCTTCTCTAGTTCTCTGATCAGATGTAGGAGTGAGTTAGAAGCGTAACTTCAATATAAAGTTCACTGATTTAAAATTGATTTATATATTAGTGTAATGTTATACAAAAAACAAATAATATAATAATGTATAATATCAATTTGTCAGAGTTGTTAACTCGCTAATTAAGATTGAGGTGATAAAACACACTAGTTTCTTTTTGGTAAAAAAAAGACACAATAGTTAAGTTTCGCAAAGTTAATGCTGATAACATTATAACCTTAATTAATATTTTAGAACTTATTTAGAATGATTTATAAATAATTTTTTAATCATAATTTATAAAGTATTAGTACAAAAAATATATAAGAAAAATTTTGTTTTAACTCGTATAAAATATCTTTATAAATGGTTTGTATCGCTGTCTAAACCGGCCCTTTATATTGAAATCCTAACACTAATCTCAAAGTACTGAATCTCCTGGTTTCGTCTTTAGCTGGAATAAATTTGCTGTTATGGCCCTTAACTCATTAGTGACATTCCTCCTTTCATTTTCCTCCCACAGCCGTGAAGCCCATTTTCGTGAAGAAGCAAAAAATGAAAATTCGATATGGCTTCGTCGTTATCCCAGGGGGCTCGTGGAGAGCACAAGTTTGAAGGGTCGTAGTGTCCTTGTCTGGGCCACTTTCTCGCAGTTCTGATCAAAATTTTTGGGTGAGATTCTCATGGAGGGTTCGCAGTAGATAGCTGAATGTATGTTATGTCAGAGAAACTTTCGAAAAATAACAAAAGGTTGAATTTTTGTAGGAAATGGATCAGTGGAAACCTGAAGATTTGTCTAAATCTGCATCTGTTGCAGCAGATTTAGCATCTTCTTCCCTTCAGCCTCAGTCGCAACTTGTGACCGTCACCCCTAGCCGCTTGCAGAATTCGCATACCGAAACCAGGTTCCTTCTTTTGCGTCTCCTCCTCTTGTGCTATATAATTTTGGATTCTCTCCGTCGACAGCTTTTAAGGTTCACCAGAGTCTATCGAAGGCTATTAAGATATTTGTAATTTATAATTGAAAGTGATTTGGACGTGATACGCCCTCTTGGGGGAACAACTTTTAGAAATTTGAGAATATCGGATTGAAAGTGAATCAGTATTTTTGTTGTGGTGCTTCAGATTGTTATAGTTGCATTTGCTACCTTTCAAACAATGCGAAAGTTTGATGATTTATATCCACTACGGGTTACTTTTTCTCCAGGCAGAGGCCTGAAGCTGAAGCACAGGATCCAGTTGCTGCAAGAAAACTCCAGAAGGCAGACCGCGAGAAACTGAGGAGGGATCGACTAAATGAGCATTTCCTAGAGCTGGGAAACACAATAGGTTAACTGCAGCACTCTTTTAGTGATGAACAATCAATTCCTTCTTCATGACCTGCATGCATCCATTTATCAGATTAGCTGATTTCAACGCCTTGAAATATGAAACCTATTGTTGATGCTTGTACATTCACGAATACCCTTTTAGTTGGGTGCCAAATGCTGTTGTTTAGAACTTAGAACTTTTTCTGAAACACTATAGGGGCCTTAACTTTAATTTTACTGAGATTTTCTTGTTAACTTAGAGTAACCTGACCCGCAAAGTTGGGCGATGAGTTTGTTGTCCTGCTGTATGTTCTGTGTAAATAAATATAAAGCGGGATTATCAGTTTTTTCGCATAAGAAAAGGGCACTTTAAGACATGATAATACTTTTAGTTTCTGAAAAAAAAAAAACACTTAAAATACTAATTTTATCTTTTCCTAATGGTTAAAATAATTAATTTTTGGGAAAGCTTTCTTTAGTCAAATGCACTTTCGGGCCCAACCACAGAAGTGCAGCAGGCTGCTTTTTAACCACAGTTTCGTTCATGTGGAACAGGAAGGGAGAAAATAGGGGAAGCGATAAAAGATATATTTCTTTATTTGACAGGTCATGTAGTTGATAATGATATTACTAATTGATTTCATAAGCGGATGGGAATCTCGTCTTCTACCCTCTGCTTATATCTGTCAAACTAAGTTGCTATTTCATTAGTTGACTATGTCATTGGCCTTTGTTTATGCCTCCTATTGAGTAAATTTTATGTCTTTGGTCTTAATTACTTGACAATTGATGTTCAGGAAACTCGTCTCAGTGGAGTTTCCTTCTGTGCCTAGAATTCTAAGATTAAGGCAATCTTCCCTTTATACCCTGAAAACACGCTTGATTACACCTTGATGATCACAACTTTTCTCTAACGCCTTCGCTTGATTGAAAATATGCTTTCCCTTTTTGGCCTTCCTTTCCAGCCACTTACCAAGCATCTTTCGCAATAGTGAAGATACTATCTTCTCACAGTAATTCTAAAAATTGTTTCTTACATCTTAATCTAAGCCTACTCTTTCTTTTTAATTATGAGGGAGGTCAGAGGACCTAGCGGGGGTTAGGTTAAGGGAAACAGAAGCAAAGGAAAACCACTGAGCATCACACTGGGAGACTTGTCACCCCTTCCTAACAACAGATGTCTAAAGTGACCTGTTATAGAGTTTTTAGCTCTGTATCATTTTATGAGTGATGACCACATTATAGAGATTACAATTCGGAAGATAACTCATTGATTAGATCATTAATTGCTAATTGTCATATCATATCATAGTTATTTAAGAAAACAATAATATTGTAAATAATGGATAGTATTGTCAGCACGGGGAGATGAAATGGAGCGCTCACTATATTTAGCTTGTTTACTTTTCCATTGATGACAGATTGCTGTCTTTTTGAGAAAGATGTATATGTATGATGCGATCAATGGTGGGCTGAAACACCAGCATTTTGTGATTTTTGGCTGTACTGGATAAACACGTCTGCTGCTTCTTTTGCCATCTTTAGATGCATTATCAGTTTGTTGGAAAAGCGATTGAGATGTTCTTGTTGAACTGAACATGGCAGATCCAGATAGGCCAAAGAATGACAAGGCTACTATCCTTACAGACACAATTCAGGTGCTAAAAGATTTAACTGCTGAAGTCAACAGACTAAAAGCTGAGCATACTGCGCTTTCTGAAGAATCACAGGAAGTAAGGTTGTTTTTATTTAAATTTTACCTTGAAGATTACAAAGCTTGTCAGCTGCTTACTGTGCCTGTTTATTTTGTGTTTGCAGCTGATGCAGGAGAAAAATGAACTCAGAGAAGAGAAGACATCTCTAAAATCTGACATTGAAAATCTTAATGCACAGTATCAGCAAAGAGTCAGAGTCACATTCCCATGGACTGCAATCGATCATTCAGTTGTCATGGCTCCACCGTATTCATATCCAGTTCCTATACCAGTTCCTTCCGGTCCAATTTCCCTTCATCCATCACTTCAGCCTTTTCCTTTCTATGGAAACCAAAATCCAGGACCGATTCCCAATCCTTGTTCCACATATGTCCCCTTTTCTGCTCCAGCTAATCCCCCAGCAGAGCAGCCAAGTGGCCAATATGCCTCGACATCCCGCACTTCAAGCAAACAAGATTCCAGAAGTAAGTCGCCAGATCATGAGAGGACCGGCAATGCTGAAAGATGTGGTGAGTCTAACGATGTAGCTACAGAGCTTGAACTTAAAATGCCTGGATCATCATTGCGGCAGGTGAGTTATCGTAGTTTAATAGCAAACCCTAGCAGTACCCAAATTATGGAATGTCTAATTGAGTTTCAGCAGGAATCATCTTCTGGAGCAAGGAAGGGCAAGCATTCATTAAGGAAGGCGAGAAATATCACAGATGGGAGTACTTCAAGCAGGCATTCTTCGTCTCAAGGACCTCAAGATAGCTCCAACAGCGTGGATGACATCCCCAAGTCTGATAAATCATAAATGAAAATGTATATGGTTCCCTCCACCAATATATGCAAAATGATTCATGGAGTTCTTCTCCTGATAAAAATAACTGAAGCATTACAACCTTGTTCTTTTTGTATTAGATCATTATGAGACTATCCTGGCCTTGTGTAAATAGATAAGTAAGCGGTTATTAGAAGTTACCCAGATGATTTGCCTTTAGCCATGCGGCATCTCAATTAATATCTGCCATTTTATGGGACTTCATTATCTTATCTTTTATCCCACCCTAAATTCTTGTTAAAAGCCAGTTCTTCGAGATAGAGAGTAAGAAGATTATATAGATTTTGTCTTGTCCTTTTAGTAGGTGGATAATTTGCAGCGCACATGTGCTTATTTATATACCGTGCCCAGTCAAGCAAATCAATTGCACCAACCTTAGGCCCAGACCCCGATAAATTTTCAAACCAAGTTAGGCCTCTTGTCATCCAGTGTGTCCCTTTTTTTTGGGTCCGGTCAACATCATCCAGCGTCTTTTCACCAGTGATGGTTATTTTATCTTTTCAATCAAAACATTTGTAATAAAGTAACTGATTGAACCAATCAATGATCTTGTGATTATGAAACACAAAATTAATAGACATATAAGTTGGATGCCAAGGTTAATATAAGCTCAATCGTCCATTCCATTTATATGGATATACAATAAAATTAAGAGGTGGCAATAGGAAGACAACTGAACTCAACTAACATTTTTCTTTTGTTTATTTATAGTTACACTTAGCGCATCACTCGAATGGCACAACCAAGAAAGCCCTCAAATTCCAAAATGTACATAGGAGAGATTGGTCCGAAAGCCAGTCTACGACGAAGGCCCAGATAAACTCTACCTACCCAAACTCTGCAAACACCTCTGGACGATATGAATGGCCAGCTACATGGACTCCGTAGGATTCGGCATCGACTAGCTGCACTTTGAGTGTCATTGAATGGCCAGAGAAAGATATCAAGGCTTGAGGAGAATCTGCACCAAAGAACTCCACCGCAGCACCACCCTTGCGTACTAAC